GAAGGATATCAAATTGATTACTATTATTGATTGGTGACAGGTGCCAAGGCAGCCAGTTTTTCTTATCAGGGATCTTGGTACCGAGTTGAATCAAGAGCAAGAATAATCCTCTTTGATACTGCATCATTTGTAGTTGATAATGCACTTTCAAGAAGGTCATCCCAATTGTCTGCAACTGATTCTAGGCATAGATCTCTACGTAGAGAACATGGTGGTCTTATGAGTTGGCCTGAACATTTCTATAAGGTGCCGCACCCAGAGCAGGACCATGGAGGCCCTGGAGGTACCAGTCAACAAGCTAAAAGCTTATCTGCCATAGCAATGCGGCTAAGCATCTTTGGTAGCACGGTATGTTAAATTACTCCCCTTCTCAAATTTTGTTCTGGAGTATTTTTATGGATCAGCTATTATATTGTAAAATGAACCATATATTCAACTGCATATTTGTAGAGGTGTGGAGACGCTCATCTTTCCATTATATTCCCTTTTTTTTTTTTGGGGAGGGGAGGCGTTGATGTTGTTAGCATATGAAGCAAGATTGCCACAGGAATTTGGAAAGCCTATGCAGTTGCTCAACATTTTCTGCTCAACTAATCTTTTCTGCATTCTTTTATGTTCCTTTCATCTGTTAGGACTTTGATTGGGTGGATTTCAAGTATCCTGTTGTGGATGAGCTGTGGAAAAGTGAATACATAATAGTTCTTTTGCTTATGAGAAACTCTTATCCTTTTAAGTTTTGGGAAAACATCTTGATTCATAGATATGTCAAGTTTCTGACCCGACTGTCTTCTGTTTTTATATTCACAAGGTTGAATCGAAACCACGTGGTCGAAGTTTTACAAGGGTCAGACCGGAGACATCATCTAGCCTGTCATATCCAAGAATTCCTTTATCCCCTGACCGCCCCCTTATTTCTGTGAGATCAAAGGGAGCAGCTACTTTAAGGAAAAATCTTGTGAGAAATTTGGCAGGACAGGATCCTGCACCACCAATGCTGAGTAGAGAAGATAAAGAGGGTCAGATAACCAACGACTCTAGTGACGAGTCTGGTGATGAAAATGAGCATGTAATAAGAATTGATTCGCCAAGCACACTGTCTTACCGCCATGCTTCTTGAAGGTTCGTTGCCATCCTTGACACGATTGTAAATTTGCTCCCTGTATTTTTGCAGAACTTGATATAGGCTTTCATTAGACAACGTTGTCCGATGCTGTCCTATAGATGTAACTATTAGAAATATTGTATTATACTACCATGAAAAGTATTTTAGTATTTAATAATTATATTTTAAAAGAGTTACTCATTGTAAATTACTCAATTAGATACATTATTATTTTTTTTTTTTTGAACATAGATACATTATTATTTAAAATTAAATTAATTAATAATTTTATATATAATATACAAAAAAAATTAAGAATTTTATTAAATTATTTAAAAATTACATTAATTTTGGATAAAACAAGTTTTTTATTTCTTTAAAAAAAATTTACTAAACGTATAATTTACAAAAAGATAAATTTATAAGTATCTACAAAACGTAGTGTACACAGCGTTGTGGCACGAAGTCATGGAAACGTTTGATAATTAGGTAAATGCCATGGGACGTTGACGTGAGCTGGTATCCGTCGTTGTCCTTGAATTGGCCTTGGTTGAATGTGTTCTTCATGAACTCATCTGCATTACTCTTTGAGTTGTGAAGGTTATAATGAGAAAACAAACATTACCATGAGCTTTGTGCATATTGAATCGAAATCTGTCTTTTACTGGTCAAACGATGTAGTGATTGAAGTTAATTGGCCTCTCTTTCTAACAGAAAGTGCTATTGATATTCTCTTTTGCACTCGCACAGTTCAACACTTATTGATTAGTTTGCGGGTCACATGCCACCCTTGCAACTCTTTATCACGCTTAGCGGACATCTAAAACACGACACCAATATAAAATCCAAATATTTTTGAGGGATCCATAGAGGTTTTTAACGTGTATTTGTTTTTATTAGTTTGAAGGCTGTGATCGATGATCTTATCTCACGAGACCGCATTAACACGTTACATTTGTATTCTAGCAATCAGTCCATAACAAGAAAAGTTATGATTTTTTTTTTTTTTAATGCACCAAATGGACATGTATTGAAAAAAAAAAAATCTCAGGTTTCTCTTATATTGGTTGTGCTGAATTGTAATTTAATGTTTTTTAAGAGAAAATACTGTATATAAAACAATGGTACATGAAAATCTCAAAAAACCAAAGGCTCAAATCAATTTTTGAATCCAATGATTTATTTTTTAAACCTTAAATATTTGAGTTTAATTAGTTAAAAATTCAACTCTTACCGACGCTTTAAAAAAATATCTTCTATTCTCAAATTCCCAAATGTTGAAAAAAAAAAAAAAAATACAAACAAACAATGAATGGAAGGCTCAGTTGCGGGTGCATCCTGACAGTTAAAAAAGGGTTAAACTCTTAATTGGTCCCTTAACTATTATATGGATCTCTCATTTGATCTTTTAATTAAAAAAATATTTAATTTGATCTCTAAAGTTTGAATTTGATCCTAAAATTTTTAAATTTGATTCTAAATTAATCATTTATTAAAAAAAATTGATATGTCTATTATTTAATAACAAAAGACTATTACTTAACCATCACATATACTTAATAATAGAACATGTTAGTTGTTTTTTAACATAAGAACCATTTTCAAGTTAAATTTAAAAATTTTATGATCAAACTAAAAATTATTTTAGTTTAAAAACCAATTTAAAAGTTAATACAATAATTGAGAAATTAAATTTAAGGTTTAACCTTAGAAAAACTAATTGACATGTTACCTGCACATTCCTTTCATCTCCTTGTCCATTTCTTTTTGGTTAAACTCTTATTTTAGTCCTTCAACTATTGGACGAACCTCTAATTAAGTTCCTCAACTCAAAAAATCTTTGATTTCATCATTACCATTTCTTATTTTTACCCCAGTTTGATCCTTCTATTAATTTTTCCACGTTAATTGATAAAAAAAGCATGACGTGATTAAAATTTTCACACGAAAGATTGACAGTTTGACAAAAACAAATGATGTGGCCAAAAATTTTGTTCATATAACATTCCAACTCATCTCACCCAAAAAAATATTCCCTTTGTTTAGCCTTTT